GTTCTTCTCTCGACTGAAAATGACGGGAGAAAAAAAAAGAGAAAAGCAATAAAAATCCTAACAACACACATTTTTAATGTTAGCTTTTACTTTGGTCATGTGTTTCAAGCGAGGTTTGAAACTGCTCCCACAGATTCCCGCTTTGTTCAGTCCGGAGAGCGGGAGGCCAAGGTTCCGAGTTCATTCACAATGACAAGTAAAGGAAAAGGCAAGAGTGAAGAACAGGGACAAGGGAAGTCAGAGACAGAAGTTGGAAGGGAAGCGGGAGAAAGGACAAGGTGATACCAGACGAACTAGGAAAGCAGGAAGAGACTTGAAGCGCGGCCTCCCGAGTTGTTCTCGGTCGGCCGCCGTGCAGCCCACTACCCTCCAGACTGCCCAGTGGTATCTGCACCATCCGCCACCGTCCACCTGGTCAGATCAGCGCCCCGCCAGGGCCCTCTGACAACCCAAGGCCAAGGCGATAATAGTTTAATCGCCCTAGATGAGCCAAAGTTGCTCCCGGTCCCGGAGAAGGGTCAGGGCCCGGCTCCGCCGCCAGTCTTACCTTGAGCGCCAAGTGGTGGACGCGGCCCAGGCCAGGCTCCACTACTAGCAGCTGCAGCAGCTCCAGCAGTGGGAGCAGCCGCAGGCCCGCGGCCAGGAGAGGACAGCGGGAGCCCAAGGAGCCGTCGGACAGCGGGGAGGCCATGTTTGTCCAGCATCACCAACCCCTTCCTCTCCCGCCCACTTCCGGGGTTAAAGGGCGCCAGCAGCCGGAAGAGCCCGGGGAGGGGTCCGTTTTCTTACACTTTGTGATCTCGGGAGTCGTCATGAGGGCACAAGCTGGGCAACTCAGGGACGTTTAACTGGCTTCTCCTGGGCAGTCTTAAGACTTAGCCAGAAAGGATGACGCCATCCCTGTGAGGCCGCTCTGGCGCCTACGGTGGCTGGACAGGACCATAGGGCCTGAGCCACGCATCGCGAAGCTGGGAAAGCAGCTTAGATCCAGAGGGACTCTGACTGGGGGGGGGGGGGGGTCGGTCTCCAGCTCTCCAAGGGTGGGTGCCCTCCATTGGATGATTTCACCAAGAACCCTGACTGGAAAGTTTTCGGCTTGTCACCGGTCCCTTGTTTTATTCCAGACACTCCACACTAAAATGTCATGAAAAATACTTACAGTAATATAACTTCTTGATACCTTGTCAGATACTTCACCAAGCCTTTTATTTGCATTGTTGCATTTAACCTTTGGAACAACTTCATTAGATAGGTGAATGTTACCACTCTAAAGAAAACAGAGGCTTGGAGAAATTCAGTGATTTGTTACAGGTTGCGCCGAGAATCCCTTGCAAACTACTGTGCTGTGTTGCCCATGCTGCTTTCCCTGATCATTAAAGTTTGGACGACTAAGTGTTCACATTTTCCACTTCTGTGTGGAAACTTACTTTCATTCTAATCTTTCAAATATAAAGAGAACCTTACTGAAAAGATTCAGTAGACCTATTAGCCATTTTTTTAAATTAAGGAATTAATAAAGGAATATGTATATTAAAATTGCAGATACACTAACCAGCTTTATTTCTTTCATGCTGTATTTTAGCTAGACTTACACAAGATGTTATTTGTGTTAAAGAGATAAGCAAAGAAGGAGAAAATAAAAGCCACCAAGAAACTCAATACTGAGGACCATCAATTTACTGTTTTATGACAAATTCTGATTCTTGGGATTTTTTAAAAACTTAACTAGTTACTAAACCTAATTATATTAGGAAGCTCTGGTAGCTTAATGATAAGAAGCTGACATCGCATAAGCATGCATTTCGAATCCACCAGTTGCTCCACAGGAGAAGGTTGGGCAATCTCCTTCGCTTGGATTAATTGTTTCTAAAAACTGGCTGGAGGGTCAGCTCCAACTCGGTGGCAAACAACAAACAAAATACTAAATGTGAGCTCTAGTAGTCTAGTCAGTGGGAAGTTGTGCTACTAACCAAAAAGCTGTGCCTCTGGAGATTTGAGTCCACCAGTAACTCAGCATGGAAAAAGATAGGCAGTCTCCTCCCATGTGATTTACAGTCTCCCAAGCACACTTGGGAACAGCTCTGAATAGGTTCAGAATAGATGGCAATGAGGGAGAGCTGTTGCTGAGGGAGAGCAGTTGTTGTTAAGTGCTGTCAAGTCATCTAGAACTTCTCCTAGCAACCCTATAAACAACAGATCTGAACCTTGCACTGTTCTGCATCATCCTCATGACCTCTGTAATACCTAAGTCCCCTGTGGCAGTCCTTTTTTTAAAGAAAATTTTAATAATTTTAATGAACATTTACAGAGATTTT